TTGCCCCCCCCCCCCCCCCCTACCCCTGAACGACTTCAGACAATCAAACAATTCGTTTACTGCAGCTAAACGCCGTACACCATGGCCCCTCCAGATATGTTACTTGCCCCTCCAGATATATAACTTGTCCCTCCGACCGAACAATCACTTGATCTCCAAAGGGACAATGCCTTTAATCATTAGAAAGTTTCATTGCTGTGGCATAACTTTTCATGTCAGCCTATAAACTTTTTACACCACCCTCGTATTTTATAGCCTCGTCATTATAGCAAGTATCGATTGAAAGGAATTTTATTGCTCAAAGAAATCTCATGGTATTGATATATGACTGGAAACATGTAAAAAAATTGACAAGCACTGACTAGTAAATCTCTTTAATTAAACTCGGTGAAAAATCCGATTCTTCAATCTATTTGAATAGTTCTCCATTCGAGATTTTTCCATGGACAGATATTGTCATACGTCTGTATTTACTTTATAGAGAAGGTATTTGTTATGCGAGTAATCTAGAGAACCGGGGCCTTAACCGCTAAAAGCCCTGAAATTGTCAGGCACTTTATGTGTATAACAGAAGTTTGGTTATCTCAATTTAATTGGATTTTATGCTTGCTGGTGAATACAGCCAATCATAGTCATGATTAGTAATTAAACTTGCAGCTATATAAATTACATTCTTTTTGTCGATGAATCTAATTGTCTGTATTCGAAAGCGAATAAAATCTGCATGAAACGTGATGTACAGGTATTAGATGGAATTCATAATAACTTGACATTGTGAAGATGTACAATCCAATCATATCGCTGCATCCCACGATGCTAGAAACGAGAAGTCAAGGTATAAGATTTTCGTAAGTTCATAATATCTTGACGCTGTGAAGATCTAGTTTGACATTGTGAAGATGAAGTCACAATAGCTTGACATTGTGAAGATGAAATTCGTCAGAGCTTGACATTGTGAAGATGATATTCGTAATAGCTTGACATTGTGAAGATGAAATTCGTATTAGCTTGACATTGTGATGATGATAAGAGCGATGTTCGAACTACAGACTTACCTGCTGAAAGCCCAACAAGGAATCTCAAGATCATCAGCGATTCCCAAGTCTCTACGCTTCCACAAACACCATGGAACACTATCATTAAAGCGAAAAATGTAAACATGACTTTTCTTCTTCCGATATTATCACCTAGAACACCTCCACATAAAGCACCTATTATAACACCCACAGCTTGACTGTAAGTTGTGAATTCAGATAATTCTATTCCACTTAAATCCTTTAACCACTGAAAAATATAAACACATACTAGTATTCAATTTCAGACATGTTTTCATATACCAGCATTCAGTTTCAGACATGTTTTCATATACTAGCATTTAGTTTCAGACATGTTTTTATATACTAGCATTTAGTTTGAGACATTGTGTTCATATACTAGCATTCAGTTTCAGACATGTTTTTCTTATACATAAATTAGCATTCAGTATCAGACATGTTTTTAAATACTAGCATTCAGTTTCAGACATGTTTTCATATACTAGCATTCAATTTCAGACATGTTTTCACATACTAGCATTTAGTTTGAGGCATTGTGTTCATATACTAGCATTCAGTTTCAGACATGTTTTTCTTATACATGAATTAGCATTCAGTATCAGACATGTTTTTATATACTAGCATTCAGTTTCAGACATGTTTTCATATACCAGCATTTAGTTTGAGACATGTTTTCATATACTAGCATTTAGTTTCAGACATGTTTTTTATATACCAGCATTCAGTTTTAGACATGTTTTCATATACTAGCATACTGTTTCAGACATGTTTTTATATACTATCATTTAGTTTGAGACATTGTGTTCATATACTAGCATTCAGTTTCAGACATGTTTTTCTTATGCATGAATTAGCATTCAGTATCAGACATGTTTTTATATACTAACATTCAGTTTCAGACATGTTTTCATATACTAGCATTCAATTTCAGACATGTTTTCACATACTAGCATTTAGTTTGAGACATTGTGTTCATATACTAGCATTCAGTTTCAGACATGTTTTTCTTATACATAAATTAGCATTCAGTATCAGACATGTGTTTATATACTAGCATTCAGTTTCAGACATGTTTTTATATACTAGCATTTAGTTTCAGACATGTTTTTATATACTAGCATTTAGTTTCAGACATGTTTTTATATACTAGCATTCAGTTTCAGACATGTTTTTATATACTAGCATTTAGTTTCAGACATGTTTTTATATACTAGCATTCAGTTTCAGACATGTTTTATATATCTAGCATTTAGTTTCAGACATGTTTTTATATACTAGCATTAAGTTTCAGACATGTTTTTATATACTAGCATTAAGTTTCAGACATGTTTTATATATCTAGCATTAAGTTTCAGACATGTTTTATATATCTAGCATTTCGTTTCAGACATGTTTTTATATACTAGCATTTAGTTTCAGACATGTTTTTATATACTAGCATTTAGTTTCAGACATGTTTTTATATACTAGCATACTGTTTCAGACATGTTTTTATATACTAGCATTCAGTTTCAGACATATTTTCATATACTAGCATACTGTTTCAGACATGTTTTCATATACTAGCATTCGGTTTCAGACATGTTTTCACATAGTAGCATGTAGTATCAGACATGTTTTCATATACTAGCATTTAGTTTCAGACATGTTTTCATATACTAGCATTAAGTTTCAGACATGTTTTTATATACTAGCATTCGGTTTCAGACATGTTTTCACATAGTAGCATGTAGTATCAGAAATGTTTTCATATACTAGCATTTAGTTTCAGACATGTTTTCATATACTAGCATTAAGTTTCAGACATGTTTTTATATACTAGCATTTAGTTTCAGACATGTTTTCATATACTAGCATTCAGTTTCAGACATGTTTTCATATACCAGCATTCAGTTTCAGACATGTTTTTCTTATACCAGCATTCAGTTTCAGACATGTTTTTCTTATACTAGCATTTAGTTTCAGACATTTGTTCATATACCAGCATTCAGTTTCAGACATGTTTTTCTTATACCAGCATTCAGTTTCATACATGTTTTTCTTATACTAGCATTTAGTTTCAGACATGTTTACATATACTAGAATTTAGTTTCAGACATGTTTTCATATTCAAGCATTTAATTTCAGTTTCAAACATGTTTTTATATACTCGCATTCAGTTTCAGACATGTTTTCATATTCAAGCATTTAATTCAAGTTTCAGACATGTTTTCATTAAAAGTGAAACCCATATATCATATAAAGAGCATTAGCTATATGAACTTTCTGACAGAGAGCAAGGTGGTATCATCAGCTTTTGGCCATGGAAATAATAGTTTTATAGTTTGAGATAATATTTTCATATGAGTTCTAACATGAAAACGAATTTGATCCGCTTTGAATCGGATTTCCCCAGTGACAAACATTAAAGAACCCTGAATTTTTTTCAATCTTTTATGTAAATGTATGCTTAACGAAAATAAACACATTCAACTATGTAAAAGGTATTCTAAGTGGCAAACCCAGTTGCTGGTGTCAGGTGTTCCAGAAGAGTTGACGCATGATCTGACCCATTAACAACAAATGGATCGTACTGACAACAAACTAGCTTACCGTGGGGACATCCACCGTAATTTTAGTCAATATATCTCCAGTAGAAGAATAGTCTATACATTTATTATGAGAATTATTTTTATGATGGTTTATCTGTGTCGTGTGGTCACTTTGATTGTATATTAAATGTCCGTTGGTGGCATAACATATCACATCCTGAGGTGTTGGCTCTGGAGTAGCATAGGCTGTGTACAATAACGTCGACACAGCTCCAGCTTGGAGGAAGATATTAGCAAAGAATAATCGTTTTTGGAAGAACCCGACCGGTCCATTTCCTTCTAAGATGCATTCAAATGACTCGGCGCTTTCGTCAGCCATCATGGGGAAACGGTTTCATTAATCCTGGAAAAATAAAAAAAAAGAGAGACATCAATAGTAAATTTGCAAACAGTCTAATAATTTAAAAATCTAGAAGATGTTTTACCTATAGCAGAGGACAATACTTCCATGGTGTGTTTTAGTTCTGGGGGAGAATATGTTAAAGAGAGTATATGAAGCAAATGATGTAGATAATCTTGTACATACATATATACATGAGATGTGGAGTTGTCGTATGTAAGAAAAAGAAAATATGAGGATTTTGTGTCGATGTAGATGAGTTTTATTAACACATATCTAAATTGTGTTTGCCTTTAACCTTGACAAGAAAGTTTTGTTTCATAACGTCAATGCAGGGATACTATCAGTATCCTCGATGCACATAAACAACTTAGAAAACATTTTTACAATCCCTTTAATATTCTACAACTATTGCATAATGTGTATTATTTTAAAAATACAGTAAGCATAGCCAAAGCAGAACAAAACAAGTTGATATCTTTTATATATTTTTTTACTTTCAACGTTGTCATCTCGGCGGACTTAAAGAATATTATTCAGGTTTTAGCATAATCTGAACAATTTATAAGTCATTATTCATCCTGTCAAAATCAGGATTCTTGGATTATACGTGCACGGCCTCCTGACAGCATGCTCGGGGAATATCAGTTAAAGGTTTCAAGAACATCTGTAGATAGAAACCCAATGAGATCAACTACCGTAAAGTCATAAGAACCTTATTTTAACTACAGTAACTAACCAACGAAAAAGGTTATTGACTTCCTTAGCAATAAATCGGGGGTTGTCAACCTTTTTCTTTCTATGACTGCTTTAAGGATCCTTGGTCCACTGCATTATTCACCCCGTATGTATCCTACTATTTCGTTATTTCCTTGTCTTGCTGAAAAGAACAACTGAACTTAAAATTGTCCATAAATTTTAAGCTAGATTACAAAGCTTTTCATTACCCCCGTGTGAGTAGTTATTCCCATCTTAAAATATTTTGCCAGCGTTATACGACATTATTTTTTGATTAAAGATTAGCCTGAGGGTTGGGACTTACAATATGTAATGGCTTAATTTCACCTTTTCACGCCATCGGTTGTTTCACGGGTATTAAAATGACTCGATCTCTTTGAACGTTTCTAATTTACATATTGGTACTTTGTGAAGTGATTTACGAAGATACATATATTGGCAATAATTTTAATATGATGTATACTTTATTATTAAAGAAGTGTGTTATACCATAATATATTCCCTTGTGTTTTTAGTTTTATGTTCTCTCCGCTTCTACATGTCGTTCAAATTGTATTTAAAAATGAATGTTTTATTTATTGTTTTGAACATATATATTCAGGAGTGGCCGCAGTTATCAAATTATTATATCATAGACATCGATTTTTGTCGTTGAGATGGGTATACGCCATAGTTTGTACATCTATAATCAAGTTATCATCGTAATGTTAGAGTAATTCTATTATTAATTCTATTATTATTGGCATGGAAACAGGAAAATAAGAACAGTCTGGATCTCAATGGAGAATAAACCACTTAAATAAAGACAAGTGAGGATTCGCGGGCAGTTGAAATTGGGAATCTAAAAATCTGGCTTTTAATATCTTATTCCCTTGTTGCGTATTGTATTATGATGTCTGCCACGTTAGAGGGCCTCGGAGAAAGTGGAATCTAGGTGAAGAATATCTGTTGTTTTATCATAAATATATATTTCATCCAATCATCCAATCAGCATTTGCTATATTTTATACTTCGTGAAAATTTAGTTCATTTACAATTTCTGAATCATGTGAAATTTGATTGACAGAGAGCAACAGGGTTATAACGACTAACTTCCACCGACTTCTTAACCATGAGAAATATACTCAATATTATCTATTTTTACTTCAATGAGTTTGAATGAAAGCGAGTGTTGTAATAGTGTGATAATTATTGCTCAAGTTATTAGACTCTACTACCTGATAGTAGGCCAGAGATAAAAATGCACGTGTAGAGACTAAGACAGATATGAACAAGAACAGTCTATTTTGTTTAGAGTTTGAATGGAGGCGAATATTGTAACAGTGTGATAACTATAACTTATAAGACTTTTACCTTATAGTAGGTCACGGTTAAAAATACACGTGCAGGGATAAGTCCAGATTTAAACACGTATATTTGGGGCCTTATTCTTGAAAACCTAACTTAACTCATCTGATTATTATTGCTGAAGTTATTATACTACTTACAATAGGTCACACTTAAAAATGTACGTGCAGGGAT